AAAAAAAACCAGAAATAAATACTATTGATTTAAAATTTTATCTCTTCTTTCAAGCAAATTGATGTCATATCATATCATTACATTAATCGCTGCATTTCGATTTGTTGTGTAAAACTTTTATACACAGATTAAATATTGATTTTGATTATACAAATATATTTATATCATGTCTTCCTGATTTCATTTCTAGTCTAATATATATTCAAAAAAACCTAATCTGAAATTTAAATAAAAACATCTTTTTTTTATATCAAACAAAATTTGATATTTTAATAATAAGTAAAATGAAAATATTATCACAAAAAAGTCAGTATTTTAATAAAAGATAATTTATTTAAAAATGCATATATTCGATCTATATACCATAATACTTATTTTTTCTCTTGCTGTTATTCTATGACTAGTATAGAACATATATAAATATATATATATATATATATATTGACTCGACAGTACAAAAAAAAAACCTCACAGTGGAATCAAATGTCAATGTACACTTTATATATCTATCAAGTTTTTTCTGCAGTTACGAATCGAAGAATATTAATATAATGCGTGTAATAATCAGTAGAGAATTATGTACTTTATATCTGATAATAATTCTATGCAATATTATTATTCTACGCGGTGCAATTTCGAATGACAATGATCCAGACACTGTAATTAATATACAAGATGCACAATTACTGATACAAAGTATGCAAGTCACAATAGAGGGAAGTGCAGATACAAGTAAAAATTATTTATTTATAATCAATAATATAACATAGTATTTTAGCTGAAACATTAATATATATAACAACGCCATCAATTGAAACAAGTAAGATGAATATATGATTCTTTTTTTTACTTAGTATTTTTCGAATTCTTCTTATACCTTAGCAATTTTGACGACAAACATTTCATTAACAACTGATATCATAAGCGTTTCTTCACATGTCAACACTATTACCTCTACAAATAGCTCAGAAACTTCAACTACTACTATTTCTCCTTGGAATCCTAATAATTGTACTAACTCGTCGCAAGTACAATTGACTAATCTTACATGTGTTGAAAAACACGTTGCGCAGGTATGATATGAAATATCTTTTATGTCTTTTCTTATTATTTTTCTTTATTTATATATATATGTACAGATAGCTGCAGTCAATGCATTGCGCAGTAATTCCACCGATTCAAACGAACTAGCCGATGCGTTGCTTCTATATTTTAGTTCAACTGATAGTTTGACCCTAAACTCAAATATATCTGATACTTTAACACCTCGTGAAATTGATAACATAATTAATATATTGAATAATGTCAAACCAAGAAACTCAAGCATAGGACTTATTTTTGCGCTACCAACGATATATGGAGATGATATTATTCTAGGAGGTTCACATAATTATAGAGTAAATAATGAAATCATTACAAACACTACTAAAATGCGTATAATCAATTCAAATATATCAGCTGCAGCTATTATTAATGATGAAACGGTGAATAATACCGAGAGTATTAGCGTATTTATATTGGGTGAATCTAAGCCATATGAAAATTTAGATCTTTCAAATAATCAATCTCTTGTATCAGCTGTAATCATAATTGGTGTGAAGATAAAGGATAATAAATCTTCAAGCATTATTTCTTTATATTTTCAAGTTTTAAAAAAGAATGAATCACATAATGATGGTCAATATTCATGTTCATTTTTTAATACTAATATTTCAAAATGGGATACAACTGGTTGTACTAAACCTCAATACAACAAAACTTATGATCGTTACGAATGTACTTGTAATCATCTTACAACATTTGCTCTTATATGGTCACCAAATCTAGCAAATACAAAATATCTTACTGCTCAAGATATTGCATCAATAATATTTCTATCAATTTCTATTCTCTGCTTCATTGCAGTTATTATTCATAGTTGCACTACTCGTCTTCTCAGCTCTGTTATATCTATGAATGCGCGTAATTTACTTCCATTGATTTCATCTGCAAGTACAACTATTCTTTTTATATTCTATATTGCACTTGGTATGACAGTATACACTCAAACAACATCTGAAAAAGAAACGAAATGTTTCTTAAGTTCAAGTGTATTAATGTTTTTCGTTTATTTCTTTTTAATTTTTATGTTTTGTACCAAAACAAGTATCGGTTATTTTAGTTATCTTCGATTTGTTCGACTTTTTCCTGAGCCATCATATCGAAAACTATTTGTATTACTTATTATATCTTTTTTTATTTCAATAATCTGTACATCGTTTGCAGTGGGATTCAATTCTAACTCATCGTATAATATAACTCAATTATATGGAAATAAACTTTGTTGGTTTACTCAAGATATGTTACATTATTTTATGACAATACCTATTGGTATATTTCTTCTATTGAATTTAGTTACAATCGTTTTTGTTGCTAAACGTATTCTTAATCATGTTCGAAATGCTACATCTCCTCATCATACATATGAACGAATGAAACAATTTGTTCTTGTTTTATTATCATCGGCTGTTACTCAAGGAATAGGATGGTTAATTGGTCCAATCTTAACATTTGTTAATGCCGATGTTGGAAATATTTTATCATGGTTTTTTATTGTATTTAGTGGACTTGAAGGAGTTTGGACAATACTTTTATACATTATAATTCGATCAGAACATATGGATAAACCAAAACGATATATTGATGGTAACAAACGTATGAAGAAGTTCTTGTTAGCATCAGTTAAAAACAAGAAATAACTAATTTAAATAGTGATTCAAGAAGAATATATCGAGCTAGTCATCGAAATACCCAAAAGAATTGGTCGATTTTTGATGATCTTTATAATATGGAATCTATGGATTGGCAAACAAGCACTTATCAAGCATAATTATTGTATATTTAAATAAATTTTTCTCATTCGGACGCTTACAATATAATTTCAATATAAGAAAAATTTGTTTTCAAATATTTTGAATTATTAAAATATATTCGTGCAGAAGTTTTTTTTTCATCTATTCGTTAAAAGAATCTTCCCCTTTCTTGACCGAAAGAAAAATTTTTTTGTTTCAGTTTCGAGATTTTCATTTCTAAAGATGTATTGAAGTGTTCTCTATCAAATATCGTAAAAATCAGAATTGTGCCAAGCTTTATAAGTTTTGAAAAAGCTTAGTTTCGAGAACACCTATGTTGAAAAAAAGTCTATGGGTTTTTTAAGGTGGCAGTCTGTGAGTTTATCTTGTTTATTAATTCTACGAATATTTCTTAGAAACAGCTCTTTATATTCATATTTAATGCGAAACAAATGATAATCTGTAATACTTCAAGATGAGCAAAGAGAAAAAAGATATATGTGAAAAAAAAAACAAGTTAACGCAACGCAAACGTCGCTGATCCTCTACGGAAAGGATATGATGTTGCAGAGATTAAGGTATCTGAGCAGGAACATAAAATAACTATTGTGTTGGTACATATATATAGGGTACGGACTATTTAAAAAACTTCTATCCTGTTTTTGGATGGAGCGCATTAAATTGTATTGGGAAGAAAATTTCAACTTTTCTAAAACTTTTGTATGAAAGAAATTTGTGAAGACTATCATATACAAGGATGATAAAAAAATGAGTCCAAATGCTGACCCGTACAAAGTTTTCTCTGATCTGTGATACATTATATTCTTCAATCGAGCTCTTCTCTTCTCATTTGACATTGAACTTAGACAAATGATAAAGTCTTACGCATACGAGGTGAAGTTTCTATTGTTTTTCTAAACTTAATGTTTTGTGAGAAAGGTAAAAGAAAACATTAATCAAGAAATGTAATGTTTTATAAAGTGAGAAAAAGTTCACATCAGTCAGTATATGACTTCAAACATTCTCAAGACACTCAGGGACAACTATAACGATCCTTTTGCCTACAAGAAAATTTTAGAAAAAAAAGTGAAGTCAACAGCAGCTCGACTAGATGAAGTCAATAGATGAGACTTGATTGCCAGAAACACTTCAAAAAATTTTCTTTCAATTGTCTAGAAAATTGAGCTATTACTACTGGTCTTATTTCGTTTTAAAATGTGAACAATGACATATTTAGTATCTACAACATTATGTCTTTCCGCTTGTTTCCGATTTCTCTCTTTACGTTTACTCATCTTTGTATACATAGTCGATTCAAAAAAAAATCTTCATGAATAAATGATTCCATAAACAAAAGTTACTAATGACAAATTACTCTGAGTTTTACATTAAAAAACCGAATATGTATTCGTTGACACAGTATGTAACTTCAAAATAGTTTCGCACATGCTTTGTCTTTGGCGTGTACTAAACTTGGTCTCAAGTCGCATTATGCACAAAATACTTTCGTAGGTCGAGTTGTTTCAAGCCCAAATTTTTCTGATTCAATGTCTTCTTCAGTAAAGTGAGTTAGAAACGATGCGAGCGGCATCCGATCTAGCATTGAAAAATAACACGTTCTGAGAAAAATTAGAAAGCATTCGAACTTATCGAAAAATGTCATGCATCGCATGCAAACGCAACCAAATCTTTCACTCTATTGCCTTTGTTTCTGACTGACCTCAGATTATTTCAGCAATGTTCAATTAATTCAACAACTCTAAAAAGCTTCAGCGCAAATACCTCCGAAAAGAGAAAGCTTTTGAAACGAAAAATCAACACAGAATTTTAAAAACAACCAGTCACAGATTTGAACTACTCAACCGCGAAACCAGCCAACCAATCTTTGTAACGGTTAATTTTATTTCTCAAAGTAATTTTTTTACAAAAGAAAATTTAGTAAAAAATTTGCAAAAAACCGATACCAAATTTGAATTCTTCGACCCCAGAAACCGTTGATCAAACTTTATAAAAAAAAAAACAGTTTTTCCATAAAAAAACAAACTTTTTACAAAAACAATCATTAAAGTTTTTTTAATAGAGCTAATCAAGATGCATTAAATGATACTAAAAAAGTGGGATCTTCAACAGTCAAATATGTTGCTGTAAAATGTTAAATCGAATGCTTCAAAATTTGCCCAATTTGTAACATAAAACCTGAGGGGTGGGTTCAAAGATCTCTTTATATCTTGGGATTGGTTTTCCAGAAAGAGCTACAAATGTGGATTTAAGAATAACTTTTCATGGGTTTTCGAATGATATAACTGATTTCAAAAACAAAAATTTTCGTATGCACGCGTTGGCGGTGTTACCGTGGATCCTCTCTTAAAGTATGTTAACGAACTGCATCGATAGAAAGTCATTATCGCTTGTGCACTTAACCAGCATCCCAAGCAGCATATGACAGCTATACACTACAATAGAAGCTCAATATGACATGTATCATATAAAAAAACTTCCCTAAGTAAGGTTTTCACTGAAGGCCAGTAATGTGAACGAAATTTTCTTAGCGATATCTGCGCTCACACTGGCAAGTACTCTTTCAAGTGACCCCTTCGTAGCAAATCGACAAACGAGATCGAAGATTGAAGACAACAGAGCGACTCTCATTTCACTAAATAAACTTCCAGAAACAACTAGTACAATAGCATTAGCTGTCAGACACGACTAAAATTTCCAGAAAACACAGAGGAATACCGTCCCAATAAGTTCTACAACCATATTCAAATCTAAACTTTCAGTTGCAAATACATACAACTATCCATCTCTTGTAACAATGGCCTACCCCTACCAGTTGTTGGGGGCATACACGGATATAGGAATATAAAAGTGCGGCCATCGTCTTTCACTGTCAAAATCATGAACCTCATCTCCACCATTATCACACACATTTATAACACACACCCAGCGTTATACATCAATACCACTCAACATGCTGACCCCCATCCGGCAAAACAACTTTCATCTGTCATAACCAGGCATCTTACATATCGAATCGATACCCTTCACTAAATGGTGCGCACTCACAAACTCTTTCGCTAACATTTCATCTCGCAGAACCTCTCACTGTCTCGACTAATTGCCCTTGAAAACTCATTCTCCACCAACTCAAATCCAAAAATCCATGATGTGCTCATCCACATCCTCAAAATCTCATTTGCTAAAAGAACATCTTGACAAAACCTTCAGTCGCTTGATTTCGCCTCCGCGAAATCTCATTGTCTAAGAGCCCGTCATCAAAGCCTCTCATTGGCCCGATTTCACCTTCGCCGAGTCTGATTGACTGATGGCTCATGTAGAGAAACCTCTGATTGGCTCGATTTGGGTTACGCAAAATCTCATTGCTTGATAGCCTATCACCAAAAACCCTTCATTGGCTCCATTTCGGCTCCACGGAATCTGATTGGCTCGATATCGAGTCTGAGAAAAATGATTGGCTAAGATCCCATATCGACAAACGTCTGATTGGCTTGATTTTCTCTGCACAAAATCCCTTTGGTTGATAGCCCATTTTGGAAAACCCGTGAGTGGTACTGTGGGAGCCAACTGTTGTCGACATTTTGACTAGAAAATCTGCTGAAGGTTAAAAAAAGCATTTTTTTTTCTGTGCGAACGAACGAGGTCACGAACATACGAACCGAACTCGTTGTATATTCCTCCTTTCAGTAGAGAAGACAACGAAATTTTACTTTATTTTATGTTTTTCTCAAAATCAATTTTTGAACAGAAAAAACGAAGATTTCCTTCCTTTTTTCCTACATGGTACATTCGATCGAACTCATATTTGTTTTCGAGTACTTTGGTCAATTTGGAATGCGTGTTATTGTTTCTTCAAAATGTTGTTCGTACGAAATTTGACAGCCTTTAAAAAATTAGGACCATTGAAAAAAAAAGCACGTTTTTTGTCGAGGCTTTCAGTATTTTGCATCTCCTGAGCTCTAGGAACGATGATTTTGAAAAACAAAGCAAAACATATACTCAAATTTGATCCTAGTTGTCATAAAAATATTTCAGCTCGAGAAGAGAAAACTTCCAGCAATTTTAGGCCTTCGAGAGTTGCATATCTTCCTGAAGGAAGCATTTGAGAGTTTTAAGTCTATGACAAATTTCACTCTACTTATCAAGATCTATCTATCTTGAAATTTTCATAAATTTTCATTGAATTATTACCGAGAAAAATTCAGAAATAATTAACTGTCTTCAATGGAAAACTAAATTTACTCTTTGATGTGTATTAATTTTTTTTTTTGTTTCATTCAATATAGATATTCATATGATTTTACATCATTTATTTTTCCTATAGGAAAAAAGAAAAGAATGAATATAAAAAGTTAAAGATTTTTTACAATTGAAAAAAAGCCGAATCGATAGATGCTGAACCTAATAAATCCTCTTTCTGGAAGAAAAAAAAGGTGAAATTTTCTATATAGACTTTCTTTTCTACCAAACAATAATACATCTATACAGTATATCACAGTAAAAACGAGATTAAGCACATAAATGAAAAGACAAAATCGTATTATTATAGATGAGAATAAAAACTAGATGGTTTTTTTTTTCTTTCTCTTATTATCAATCATTTGGACGATCATTCCATGTAATTCTTGTTTCATAAAATTGAATTAATTCATCTTCACAATATTTTTTTGCAATATTAGCTGGAATTAATTCCATATTATCATCAAACATTGTAGGAGATTTATAATGAACAAGATAATGTAATTGATCACCTTTGGTACGATTAATACCAAGAATAGCTTGAACTTGATAACCTTTTTCAACTCCATATGTTATTAAATTTTTTTCTTGATCTTTATCAGAATTTGTTGTTGAACCAGTTGATGATTCAACTGATTTTGTTGGTTCTTGTTCATCATCATTACCATCATTATCATCATCTTCAATAACTTTAACACGTCGTTTTTTTGATCGTTTATTATTATTTCGACGTTTTTGAGAATAAGTTCGTTCTCGTTCTTTTCGTGTACGTTTTCGTTTACGTGCTTCTTCACGTTCAAATTCGGCTACACGTTGTGGACAATTTAAACTTGATTCAGGTATCCATTCATTTGCTGAATTATCATAACCCACCCATTTTATAAAATATTCATATCCACCACGACGACGTCGACGTTTAGCAAGAATTTTTTCCTTACAAAATAGAAACAAAAATAATGAAATCAAATTGAAATTAATTTTTATATATTAACTTACAACTTCATATTCACTACTAGCATTACTATCAGTATCATCATTACCAGATTCAGATGATCGTGATTGTGTTTCATCGTGTTCATCAGTTTTTTCAGTACTAGGCGTAGCCGTTTCATTATCTCCATCAACGTGCTTTTCACTACTCATTATTTAGAAATGCTTTAAAAATACATTTTTCTTTATTTGTCCGTAACCAATCATTATTTATTACATTAGCGACACTTATTTAATTCTATTCGTTATTTTTCTTAGGCCACGTAATCAATCAATCATTGAACTTTTTTTGTTGATTAGAAAAATCGAAGTTCACTAGATATGACGACTTATCAAGAATTTTTTACACAAAATGAAGAACATGATGGTGTTCGTTTTACATGGAATGTTTGGCCATTAAGTCGTCCTGAAGCAGCAAAACTTATTGTTCCACTTAGCTGTTTATTTACACCATTAAAAGAACGTAACGATCTTCCACCATTAAATTATGATCCTGTCCTATGTACACGTACAACATGTCGAGCAATATTAAATCCATTTTGTAGTGTTGATTATCGAGCTAAAATTTGGATATGTAATTTTTGTTTACAAAGAAATAATTTTCCACCACAATATGTTGGAATTAGTGAACAATTACAACCAGCAGAACTTTCACCACATTATACAACAATTGAATATACATTAATGGTATCTTCAAACAAAAATTTTCAATTGAATAATCTATTGTTTTTCTTTTTAGCGTGCACCAGTTCAACCAGCTGTATTTTTGTTTGTTGTTGATACATGTATGGATGAAGATGATATGACAGCATTAAAAGTAAAGACAAAAAAAAAATTTAATTTTGCAATTGTTATTTATAATTAAATTTTGCATAGGAATCATTACAAATGGCATTAAGTTTATTACCAACTGATGCTCTTGTTGGTTTAATTACATTTGGTCGTATGGTACATGTACATGAACTTAATTGTGAAAGTATGACACGTACTTATGTTTTTCGTGGAACAAAAGATTTAACTGCAAAACAAGTTCAAGTAGATAGAACTTAAAATGTTCTGGTTTTTTTTTGTCTCATCAACAAAAATTTCTTTATAGGAAATGCTTGGTTTAATGAAACAACAACCAAATCAAAGACCATTACCTGGAAATCCAAATGTACCACAGCAACAACCAAATACACCATATAGCAAGTAAGAATTCCATCATGTAGAGAACAATTTTTCAAAATGAAAAATAGAATTCGAAAAATTAAATCAATTGTTGTTGTTATTATAAAAATATTTTAGCGCAAAGTGGATAATGAATCCTATTCATAACTTTGATACTGTCGGAGATGAGAGTTATTTGTTGTTTCTTTCAATAAAATCCAGAATATTCGAGTTCTGACCAGAAGAATATTCAACTGTTTACTCCTTGGCACTAATCCAGTAGAGTTAATGTTGAATGAACCATAAGAATGGCTTATGCATATGCAAATTACGACAGCGGTATGGTTAAATTTAGGCGAAGTCATTTCACGGTGGAGATGAAGATTAGGTCAAAAACGGCTCATTTGTATTGAATAACATAAAAATTGAATTTATTATTAATCTGAGTTTTTTTGTAAAGTTTTTTTTTTTGCAGTTATGTTATTATTTTATCTGTATAAAGCTGGAGACTTATTTACTATAGATTATTTTTTGAAAAATGAGTCATTTCGAGGGATGATACATAGTTAGATACTTGTAAAAGCATCTGTTTTGGGATTACAATCAGATCTTTCATTGTCAAGATCGTATTGGAATCATTAGTCTTTATTGTGTTTTTATAATATGAAATTATTAGTTCCAATTTCTATTCAAAATCACCCATCTTATTGTTCGGATCCCGTCTACATAGAAGGCCATAACACAAGCTGCAAGTTTCTAGTTTTTATCGATAAGATTTTATTTAAAATTGACTGTAGAGTGGTTTGTTGACTGCCCATTAATCTTAATAAAGTTTTCACTGTTTTGAAAAAACATCATTTTCTAACTTATTTATCTTAGTGAAGAAATAATAAAAAGAAGTTTGATTTTTTTTTTCGAGTAGTGACTTTTCATTCACTCTTCTTGGATACTTCTGCACGATTCACACAACTTCTCGTCAACACTTAGTACTTTGTTTTCATGGATCAAATAGATTAATGTATGTTCGAAGCGATTAGTGAATGGAGTACGTGCATCTGTAGAATAACTACATATCCATTTAAAAATATGGTTCTTCAACAGATTGATGACACCTTATACACTAATTGGTCTAACTGAGAGAGCACATTAAAAAATGTGGGTGGTACGGTATCGCTGATCTGGAGACTTACCAAACATATTATTTACTAGGTTAATATTGTAATATATATATATATATATATTGTTTGCTTTGTACACTATTCTTTGGTTCTTATCTAGGCCCAGGAAACTTTTAAATAATTGGTATGAATGACAGTAGGGAGCATCACAGAGTGACGGTACAGGCATCAAAAAGTATCAGGGTGAGGTTGTCGTCGGTTTGGAGCAACAGCTATATTTTATTGACAAATAATAATGCGAAATGAATGCTGAAAAAAGTTGATCATCAAAAATACTGTCATTCTTATTCAATACTCTACACAATGTTCAGAAGCTGTCTCGGTCTAATGCTTTCTTACATCCAATAGATAGTTCTATGTGAATAGATCAAAAATGGTCCAACATGAGGTAAATAGTTAATCAACGAAGATTAGATGATTTGGACAGTATTTTTGTTTTTTCAAATGTTCTAACTTAAAAGTACTTGTATCAATTTCTTTATTATATAGCAAAGCAAAGACTTTATGGTTAAATTTTTTTTGTCATTGAAAAAAATATTGTATTGCAATACGTTACATTTAGATTTATTCAACCAGTATCGGCATGTGATATGTCATTAACAGATCTTCTTGGTGAACTTCAACGTGATCCATGGCCAGTACAACAAGGTAAGCGTGCAGTACGATCTACTGGAGCTGCACTTTCAATTGCTGTTGGTTTACTTGAGGTATTTTCTTTTTGAAAATTTTTTATTTTAATTTAATATTTTATATAGACTCTTTATCCAAATATTGGTGCTCGTATAATGTTATTTATTGCTGGTCCATGTACACAAGGACCAGGTATTATAATTGATGAAGAATTAAAACATACTATTCGTTCTCATCATGACATTGAAACAGATAATGTTAAATATATGAAAAAAGCAATTAAAGTATGAATAAAAAGAAATTTCATATATAATTCATAAATTTAAAGAATATTATAGTTTTATGAAGGTTTAGGAAATCGTGCAGCTGTTAATGGACATGTTATTGATTTATATTCATCAGCATTAGATCAAACTGGTTTACATGAAATGAAATATTGTCCAAATTATACAGGGTAATTTGATTTTCGTTCTTAATTGAATGATTGAAATTTTAATGAAGTTTTTTTTAGTGGTTATATGGTTATGGGTGATTCATTTAATACATCATTATTTAAACAAACATTTCAAAAAGTATTTGCTAAAGATCATAAAAATGAATATAGAATGAATTCTGGTGCAACTATAGAAGTCAAAGTAAAAAATAAATGAAAATTTTTCAAACAAAATATAAAAAATTATTTTCAGACAAGTCGTGAACTTAAAATATCTGGTGCTATTGGTTCGTGTGTTTCATTATCACAACGTGCTGCAAATGTTTCGGAAACTGAATTAGGTATTGGTGGAACAAATGCATGGAAAGTTTGTGGAATGTATCCAAATTCAACTCTTTCATTCTTTTTTGAAATATTGAATCAAGTAAGATTTAATGATTAAGTTTGTTAAATAATATTGAAGATTTATTTTATTATTTAGCAACAACCATCAACTCAACCTCTACCGACTAGTCAAAGAGGTTATGTACAATTTATTACACAATATCAACATTTATCTGGTTTTAAAAAAATTCGAGTAACAACTGTAACAAGAAAGTATGAAAATGTTTATGAATCAATTCGGATAAATTAAAAATAACCTAAGACATTCTGTATATACAAACATTTTCAAGTGTTCCTTTGAACGAATAATTCATATTAGTATTAGAATAGAAATGAGTATAAAGATTTTTTTAATCTGTTCGTATATATATGTATACATTCAATTATGTTTTGTTGAAACATGAAATCAGATTCATTTATTGCCATTGAAAAGCGTAAAAACCAAATTATAATTTTTAGCATTATTGCATTTAGTGTTTAATATAGAAATAAAATATTCATCGAGCTGATATAAGATTATTTGGCATTCGTTTTTTTTTTGCAATGTTTTCTGTTAAGAGTTGCTTTTCAGTCTTCTCTTTGGATTGCTAGTTGTTACTATTCTCGACATATTCATCATATATGTGTACTTTCTTTCATATGTTTATGGTGATCTTAGAAAAAAATTTTATATTCATATTTCACATATCGAATAGAGATAATTTGAAATCATCCAGTGTTCCAATGAAAATGAGATTCTCTATATTTTAATAATATTTCTTTTGATATTTGTTTGTTTAGACTTCATGTTTTTTTTTGTTCAATAATTTTACCTTATAAGACAATTTTCTAAGACACCTTTTTATTAGTTTCTTTTTTCTTTTAACTATATGCTTCAGTTTTTGCATAAATAATCCTTTTGGTGTTACTTTTTTCCTAATTAAAAGAATGTATGAAGCTACCTTAAATTGAACGGTTCAATGTATGTAAATCTGAACTATTATTCATCTAGAACTTCTTAGCTATTTCAAGTCTACTGTCAATGTTTGTCACGAGCATATTAGTTTGAGTTCATTTTATAAAAAAGTCTGTATGGCAAAAAAAGTCCAAATACTTCATCATACTTCATGATTTAAGTGCCAGTGAAGTGTCATGAAGTATTTCAGCGTTATTAACAGTTAGATTTATATAAAATACACTCAAACTGATATGCTCGTGACACATGCTGATAGTAGACTTGAAATAGCTGAGAAGTTCTAGAGAATAGCTTTGACAAATCCTTGAAATACGAAATTTTCACTTTTTCCTCCTTGTTAATAGTTCTTGATGATTGATGAGACAAAATTGTTCTGAGCCTACTGTTGTGTAATTGATAAATGTGAGGTTTCCCACATCGATCTGCTGGAATATCCAATATTTTTTGAAAACTTAATTTCCATACTTTCAGTGCTACTGAAAGAACATTCCAAATGTATTGATAGTAGTCTAATATCTATTGGTCAAAAATAACTGGTCATTTCAACAAGTTAATATGCGAAGCTATATATCTATCAATTACTTACTAATGGGGTCAGAAGAACTTTCTTCCATTATCAAGAATCCTTAGGTATTGAATAATCTAGATTAAATTACGTTGAACTGTTCAATTTGGAGAAAATTGATACATTCTCTCACTTAGGAAAAGTTAACATCAAAAGAAATTCTTATGCAAAAATTGACAATAGATTGTATTAGAAAATTATTTATCATGAACTATTCGTTTGAGTCGTGTCTCAGAAACTGATAGATGTTATTCACATTAATAAACAAATATACGATCCTCTTAAAGAGAATTAAAATAAATATCATTAAAATAAAGAGAACTTGATTTTTCTTGGAAAACCCAATAAATACTTAATTATCAACTATACTGCATTATTCTATTCAAAAAAAATTTAATTTTTTCTTTTTAAATTTCTATTTTAGTTTGATAGATGCTACATCAAATTTGCCAACAATTACTGCTTCATTTGATCAAGAATGTGCTAGTGTAACAATGGCTCGTATAGCTGTTTATCGTGCTGATACAGAAGAAGGTGCTGATGTACTTCGTTGGTTAGATAAAATGCTTATTCGACTTGTACGTTTTTTTGTTTTTCAAATTTATCTTTATGTTTCTTTTTGTTTTTTTCTAAGAGTTTTCTTTTCTTTGATTTAGTGTCAAAAATATGCAATTTATGAAAAAGATAATCCAGGTTCATTTCAATTAACAGATACATTTACACTTTATCCACAATTTATGTATCATTTACGTCGTTCACAATTTCTTCAAGTATTTAATAATAGTCCTGATGAAACAGCATTTTATCGGTAAAGAAAAAAGCGAAATAATGACATAATTAAATACTTTTAATAATATGAATCTTTATGTTAAATAGACATTATTTACTTGTTGAAGATCTTACACAATGTTTAGTTATGATTCAACCTATTCTTTATGCTTATTCATTTAATGGTCCACCAGAAGTAAAGAATTTTAAAATTCTATAAAAATTTATTCTCTTTTTTTTTCTAGCCTGTACTTCTTGATAGTAGTAGTATATTACCTGATCGTATACTTTTAATGGATACATTTTATCATATATTAATTTATCATGGTGAAACTATAGCACAATGGGTTAAAGCTGGTTATCAAGATTTACCGGAATATGAGAATTTTAAACAACTTTTACAAGCACCTGTAGGTGATGCAACAGAAATTCTTCAAAATCGTTTTCCTATGCCACGTTATATTGTTACTGAAGCTGGTGGATCACAAGTATAATTATTTATATACTTTGTTTTTCTAATATAATTTTAAAACTATTTTAGGCAAGATTTCTTTTATATAAAGTAAATCCGTCTCAAACACATACGAATTATGGATTGGGACAAGTAAGTTTATTTATTTATTTATTATTGAAAATTGAATGAAAAATTTTGATTTTGTTATTTTTAGGCTCTTGGAGCACCAATTCTAACTGATGATGTTAATTTACAAACATTTATGGAACATTTGAAGAAGCTTGCTGTGTCTACATCAACGTAACACATCGTCGATCTTCTTCGTTTATATGTGTGGGTGTGTGAACCTCTATTTATCTTGTTGTGTTTTGCATTTTTTTACCCTGCAGGATTTCATACTATTTTATTTAATAAATCAGCAGTGACAGAATTTATCCCAAGCAGAATTTAATAATTCTGCTAAATTGATTCAGTTTTCCTTATCCGCTTATGTACTTCATTTTATATGGTTATCTCTGCTTTAAAATCAAAATTCTCCTTAGAATTATGTTTTTCCAGCGGAACTGTGTTAGAATTTTGATTCCTCAGCAGAATTTTGTTCCATCATATAGCCTTGTTTATAAATCAAAATTCTGTTTAGAATTATGTTTGCCCAGCAGAATTGTATTTAATCATATACACTTATCTCTACTTCAAAATCAAAATTCTGCTTAGAATTAGGTTTTTCCAGCAGAATTTTGTCAGAATTCTGTACCACGCGTGGAATTGTATTATAATGTAATGATAATCATTGTAATAATCTATAACATCACAATCAATATGCACCATGTTCATGCTGTTATATATATATATATGTATATATGTCTTATAATGTTAATATTTACGATATTGATATTGTATGATATTGTATATATATATTGTTTTGAAATTTAGTATTTTATGGTATTTATATTTTCATGATATTATATACCTATATGTGAACATATGTTTCATGATGTCATCGGTATTATCTTTAGTTTTTGTTGTACTGTTAATTTTTCATCCAACAGCTCCATAGATTGAAAATGCTCGTTAAAGAGACCGAAAATTTCCTGTTATATAAATCATTGATCATACATAAACATAGAACTTATGCTACATATATATTCATTTTTTTAAATACATGATTTAAATCATGCTAAAATTCCGCATGTAAAACAAAATATCATTGTAGTGTCTGCGAAATAAATTCATAGATTGATGAATTGGGTGTGGGTGTTGATGTTGGAGTTGGTGTTGATGTTGATGTTAATGTTGATGTCGATGCTGATATTGATGTTGATGCTGATGTTGATGTTGATTTTGATGTTGGAGTTGGTGTTGATGTTAATGTTGATATCGATGCTGATATTGATGTTGATGTTGATTTTGATTTTGAAGCTGATGTTGAAATTTATGTCACACCCACACACCCACACTCACACCTACACCCACACCCCACATCTACACCCACACCCCCACATCCACACCTACACTCACATCCACACACCCACACCCGATTCAAATCATCATATTGTCCGTCATGATGAACTTTATTTAATGAATTCATGAAAATTTTCCTGCAACTTGTTCACATTAGCATTAAACTAATAATTTAATTCTTTGAGGAACAAGTGAATCTAATGAAGGAGAATTCTGCTAGAAAGTTAGAGTTCTGATAAAGCTCTGTTGGTAAAACAAAATTCTAAGCAGAATTTTGTCTTAGATACACAAATGACTATATATGATGAGACATAATTCTGCTAGAAAAACAGAATTTTGACAAAATTCTGCTGGAAAAACATAATTCTAAGCAGAATTTTGATTTATATGCAGAGATAAGTGTAGATAACAGAACGCAATTTTGTTAGGAAAATAGAATTCTGACAAAATTCTGCTGGAAAAACGAAATTCTAAGCAGAACTTTGATTTTGTATACAGTAATATGCATATGTGTTGGCACACAATTCTGCTAGGGTATCAGCATTCTGTCAAAATTCTGCTGCAGAGACAAAATTCTAAGCAGAATTTTGATTTCGAAGCAGAGATAAGTGTATATGATGAAACACAATTCTGCTAGAAAATCAGAATTCTATGATTCGTATTAAAGAATAACAATAGAAAATGAGAATTGTAACACAATTCTGCTGAAAAAACATAATTCTAAGCAGAATTTTGATTTTAAAGCATAGATAAGTGTATATGATAAAGCACAATTCTGCTAGGGAATCAAAATTCTAACACAATTCTGCAAGAAAACCATAATTCTAAGCAGAATTTTGATTCCGAAGCAGGGATAAGTATATATGATGGAGCACAATTCTGCTAAAGAATCAAAATTCTAACACAATTCTGCTGGAAAAACATAATTCTAAGCAGAATTTTGATTTTAAAGCAGGGATAATTGTATACAATGGAACACAATTCTGCTGGAAAAATATAATTCTAAGCAGACTATGCATAATAGAGTTATTATTGTTTTGGTACATTATTATAAGAATGATAAATATATGCAGAATACAGAATTCTTAAATTCTGCTTGTGAGAATTTTGCCACCTCTCGAAAAAAAGGTTATTCATGATTATTTATAATTGTTGAAAACTAATCATTCATGAAAAATGCTTTTCATCAGAACTATTTTCCATTTAAATGAATGTCTATGTGATTATATTTACTCAACGAGACAATAAATTTAACTTTATCAACTGAGATAAATGATACAATTGTGTAATGATATATATTTCTTTTATTAACTTTATATTCTTTACATGTTTGATCAACTGTAACAATTAAGTTATCCATATTAAGTAAAGAAGTTCATTAGAATTCATTGCAAGTATCAATGAAGTTTGTTTGAAATAAGATCTTTAATTTCTTATTCATTGTAACAGTAATAATAAAGTCAAATTAATGATTTCATATAATAAAAGAAAAGAAATAACAAGAAAAAAGAAATGTAACTGTCAATATTTTTATATCGAGTTATTAATGAATATTATCGGACGGCGACAAACAAACTAAGTTTCTAGTTTTTCTTTTTTCATGTAATAAAGAATGAACGTAAAAAAAAATAATAATAAAAAAGAGTAAATAACTAAAAAAGCATCCTAAGCCTAATCTAACGAATAGTCATTAAAAAATATAATGCAATTATCAAGGTCATTTTAAAATTCAACTATATAGAAACAACATAACATGATGAAAATGAACAGTAACAATTATGGAAGTCAGTAGTGTTTATAATAATCAAGGAGAATGTCGCATATGTATATATATATATATATGCTTATTCATTCGGTTACGTTGATTATAGTGCGTGTTTTTAATCTTAAATTGCATGACGTATGCTATTCTAACTACGTCAATACACGCATACAATCCGATTATAAACTTTGAGTTCGACCAAATTTTTTCTATGATATTACTTAGTTTATTCTTAGTAAGTTCTTTAGACAATCAGTAAGAATCTATACTGATATATTTTCTCTACGGCAACTACTATGTTATCTTTACTAATAATAGTAAACAAATAAATATAATATTAAGAAAAAACGACACGGAAATAATTGATATTTAGATGTGCATAGACATTTTCCCATCTAATCAAGTCATACAATCTGGAAGATGATACCTTGCCGTTGGGTTTCTTTTTTCAGTATGTTAGACGTACGGATGTAATGATGATGAAAGAACTCTCATCATCACATTTCCTACTTTATGAGGCACATAGCGCTTTCCTCTTGTCATTTCTCTCTCTGTCGCTCAGTCTGACAGTCAGTCAATCAAAAAGTCTGCTATGTAGCGTATGTGTGCACACAACACAAGAGTTAATTGAAAGAGATGCTCACTATGCGTAATACAAAAAAAATGAGCAAAAAACACAACAAGGAAAAAGAACTCGCTAAACTTCTTGTTTTTTTTCTTTTCTTTTTTTAATATACGTCGATTCCACTAATAAAATTATGCTTCGATTGTCGTTTAATTTTTTATATTATATAGATATGTTGACATAAATGAGTTTTTCATATATCATTTTCTCCTGTCTATGTGCATAAAGCAAACATGCCAAAGTTTTCATGTCGTTTTCCGTTGTGGTGAGGTAGTTCAAGCGAAAGAAAGTAGACTAGAGAGATAATCTCTAATCGGAACACAACACTTAAAGAAATGCATAACAAGAATCTATCATTTCTCCCCCTTCTCTTGTTCCCTCTCGCGAGAGCAAGTACGTCACACTCTAACAGCATTTTTCCGTTTTCCGAACTACACTTTTCTCTTCTCCTTCTCTCTCTCTCTTCTTGTCGCATGAGAAAATATAGAAAAACTGGCAACAGTCAAAGCACTACTATCAACACACATACACACATAACAATTACGCAGACGAACGCACGCATAGAGTAGAAGAGAATTAACGTCAACAAATAAATTTTAAATTAGTTGAAAATAATAATAATTCATCATGCACTACGAGTTATACATATTTACTTAAACTATGTTCTATTCGTTTATCATTTTAATAATTCTTATCACAGGTAAAAATTTATTCTTCATATTTCTATGTCTATCATAGTAATAAATAAACTAATAAAAAAATGACAGAAGACGTATATATATATATATATACTACTTATTAATGATACTTAAATTTCAAATGTAGTTCTATTGATTTTTTTAATTCTCTTGATTTATTATAGTAGATTGGTCTTTTGGACAAAAATGCAATCGAGAACGAATACATAGATGGAATGCTGAACAAAGACTTATTTGTGATTTACTTGATAATTATCAAGTTAGATGGGGTCGACCTGTCAGGAATACGAGTGAAGGTGTGGAAGTACGATTTGGTTTACAACTTATTCATATAAGTGACCTTGTATGTAAACCTAAAAAAAAATCGAAGAAGATGATAATCTAGATTAAGATTATTTAGGATGAAAAAAATCAAGTGTTAATCACAAATCAGTGGCAAATTTATGTATGTAATAACATTCATATTTATTTATTATCACTATTATTTATCTTTTTTAGGAATGGGAAGACGAAGCATTAACATGGTAAATATAATAAATAGAGTTTTTTTTTTCTAGTGTGTATTCATTTTTTTTTTGCTTTATATTTCAGGGATCCAGAAGATTATGGTAAATGAATTTAAATGATAAATCAAAAATAAATAAATAAATAAATAAACATAATTACTTTTGTGTTATTAGATAATCTTATGGATATACGTTTACCAATAAAACGTATTTGGCAACCAGATGTGACATTATATAACTAGTAAGTTTTCTATTGACAAGAAAGAGAATGTTTCAGAATCCTTTCAAAAGACAAGCTCGATTAATTATTCAACATTTTCAGTTCATTCTTCTTTTACAATAGTAAAAAAAAAAGAAATATGTCTTCATAATATTTGATTCTATACATATGCAAGATTAGAATTGTTAATCTAGCATAGTTCTATTTATCTACTTTATTAAACTAATCAATCGATAGCATTGTTCTTATTTTATTTCACAGTGCTGATACACGTCTTGAAGAAAAACGAGAAGTATTGGCAATTGTTTATCATAATGGAACAGTTTTTTGGAAACCAATGTCAATTTTTAAATCAACATGTCAAATCGATATTCGGTAATTGATATATTTGTATTCTAGTTGGAGTAACTAATTCTTTCTATTTATTTATTTTTTTATTTTTTTAATTTTTTAGACGTTTTCCATATGATCGTCAAAATTGTTCAATGAAATTTGGTACATGGACATATGATAGTTCGAAAGTAAATTTAAAATTTTATCGTAATATACAAAAATTTGATCTTAATTCATATGTTAAATCCAATGAATGGTCTATTATTGGAAATAGTGCATCACGTTATACAGAAAAATATGGTAAGAATAATATTTGAAAATATAAAAAATTCCTGTTTTTTTGTTGATTTAGATTGTTGTCCAGAAATTTATGTTGATTTAAAATTTTATATTAATCTTGAACGACGTGGTGGTTTTTATAATTATATTTTAATATTACCCTGTGTATTATTATCTTGTTTAACATGTATTCTTTTTTGGTTACCTGTAAGTGAACTATTTGAATAAATTCATTATTTCTTTTTCTTTTTTTTGTTGATTGATTTTATTTTCTATTAGCCGGAAAGTCCATCAAAATTAGTACTTGGTAAATCGAATAACTTGTTTTTTTTTACTTATTTCCATAAAAATTTTTTTGTTTTTGAAAATAGGAATGAATATTTTTACATCGTTTTTTGTCTTGTTACTTCTATTATATAAAAATATGCCATCAAATGCTGAACACATTCCACGTATAGGTAAGAAATCTTTAATCGGAAAGAAAAATATTATCTACAAATAAAGTTATTTCCTTTTCATTTTAATAGAAATTTATTTTATTTATTTATAGGCGCATATTATTGTTTAAACATGGGAATGATTGCTACATCAACATTTTTATGTACAATTGTTGTTCATATTTATTTTCGTGGCAATGGACCTATGCCAACTATATTAAGAAAAGTATTTTTCATGTTTCTTTTTTTGTCAAATAAAAAAAAAAAGTAAATCATTTTTCTTTATTCTGTATTTACTTTCATAAGGTTTTTCTTGAATGGCTTGCAACATGTTTTTGTATGGTACCACATACAGCTGCACATGAACAATTTGTAACTCATAGTTCAATACCACCAATAAAAGCGACGTGTGATGGTGATAAATTTGAAAAATTTGAATTACTTAAAGAACGTTTTAAATCATTTGGTGATAGACATATATTAACAACAAACGATGATTTAGATAATGAAATATTAGAAATAAATCATGATTATGAACATGAACAGCAAACCGATGATATTTTAACACAACAAATTCAACAACAAATAACAGCATCACTTGCATTTATGACTGTTGAAACTGATTTAAAAGAAATAAGAAATTTTTTACGTATAACAAGAAAACGTATGGAAGATAAAGAAGCAAAAGCTAAAACTGTTAATGATTGGAAACAAGTTGCACTTGTACTTGATCGAACATTTTTTTTCATTTATTTGACTGCTATTATCATTTCTCTTGCTGCTATGTTTCCTAGATAGATTTATTTGTTTTGTGTTTGTTTTTCTAGTCTATTCTCTACAGCTATTTTTTTTGTGTTGCTCGAGCTAATGAGATGTGTCTATTGACGAAGATATCAAAGATATTCTATGCTTATTTGCTTGCTCAATATTAATTGAAATAGACGAACAGTAAACTAAAACAAAAATAAGAGAAAGCAGATCTCTCTCTCTCTATATATATATACACATTTTTTTTATTTATTTAAAAAATACAAACAAATAATACAAAATATTATTTTTACGTATCATTCGGATCAGGTGATCGATGAGCATAACGTTGATGAATACGTTTTCGAACTGATGATGCAAATGGGTTAACATCTTGTACAAAATGTTTATGAATAAGTAATTTAGCGCGTTCACTATTATCCGAAACTTCATCTTTTTCATCCATATGATCCACAACAACTGGAAGTATTTCTGGTGCAAAATATTGATGTAAAGCATATATAAAAAAAACGATTGTTGCTAATAAAATAATAATACTAATAATAAGTAACATTTGCATAAGATGTGCTTGATTATGTTCATATTCAGGCACATTCCATGATACATATAAACAACTAGTTGATGAACGATAATAAAAATTTTTAGTTTTATTATTTAAAAAATTAACACATATTTCATAACGGCCTGGTGGTAAATTATGAATATTAATTGTATTATTTTCTTTTTCATTGAAATTTATTTTAACATAATCACTTATTTGTTTTTCAAAGTGATCTTTTAAATGTGTTTTATGTTTCTGTGTAAGATCTATTACTCTTAATGTAAATGTATAATATAAAAAGAAATTTTGTTCATGTTCACTTTTATTGAATTTCATATGTAACCATATACGTATTGATGTTGTATTTAATTTTTCTTGACATAAATATGTATGTTGATATTTTGTTGAATTTTTAAATGAACATTTATGTCCATATGTTAAAGTAAAAAATAAAATGTATATTAAAAAAAACATTCAACGAAATTTAACTATTATATATATGTACATATAAAAATGAGACGATAAATGTTTGTTTTTCCTTTTTGAATTTTTTTTTTACAATCAATCGTTTGCTTTAGGACATATTAGCTCATTCATCTGAAAATAAATTTTCCTTGTGAATTGTTAAAAAACTAAGAATACATTTTATTTCGTTCTTTCTTAGTTTTATTAATATATGACAAATGATTCATACGAATGAAAAAATAAAATTGTTTCATCGAGGCTCTTGTAATCGTCGACAGAAATAAGTCACACGATCAGGTAAGATTCTATTGACTGATGCTAACATATTGCCCCTCCTGCAATTTATGAAAGAGAAAATAAATCTTTTGTTTAGTACAGAAAACGATAATTATATCTTACGAAAGTCCAATCATTTTTCGTTCCGGACTTTGATTCAATTTCGTACGAGCACTAAATGCCATACACGCATGATCAGAAGAAGGAGTTTTATAATAACAACGATTATTTATGTCCAATAATCGTTCAACTTAAAAAGAATTTTTTCAAAATAGATTAATAAAAATAAAATATTGTTTTTTTCCTTACATTGAGCTTGA